TCAGAGCTGAAATCTAGAGTTGGATGCTTAACCAACTGAGCCAGTTATTATTATTATTTTATTATTATTGTTTTCTTAAAATAAGATCTCTGGTTATCATTTTTTCTGTGTCTAATGGCCTATTTATAATCTATTACATACATATAACATTTATAATAGATGTCACATATATATGCATGTGTTTATAAATATACACATATAATATCCATTCACTTGATTACAGCGGAAGAAGCAAGGAACTTTGAGCACAAGGACAAGCATCTTCTTGTTATGCGCTCTCTCCGCTCTCTGAGGTGGAAGTAAGAGACGGCTACTTTCTCTCTCTGTATATTACATCCTATCAGCAAGAATGCTGTGACTTCCCAGTTTTTATCTCTTACATCAAATGAAAAACTTTTCCTTTTTGTGACTTCTATCAAACTGATTCCTTTAAAATAAAAAAAGGAGGGGGGCCTGGGTGGCTCAGTCGGTTAAACGTCCAACTTTGGCTCAGGTCATGATCTCACAGTTTGTGGGTTCGAGCCCCACATCAGTCTCTATGCTGACAGCTCAGAGCCTGGAAACTGCTTCGGATTCTGTGTCTCCCTCTCTCTGCCCCTCCTCCGCTCATGCTCTGTCTCTCTCTGTCTCAAAAATAAATAAAAAACATTAATTTTTTTAAAAAACCAAAAAATAACCCCAAGCTGATTCTTTCATACACCAATGTCAGATATATCCCAAATAACATATGAGAACACTAATTTTTTTAGTTTATAATTTTTTTCCTCACAAAACCTTATAAGTTGGATGTTAATATTTTAAATCTACCAGATAACAAAGCCAAAGCTCAGTGGAGTTGTGTACGTTCCCAAAACACCACAGTTAACAAATCTTGAGCCGATATTCACATACATTGTCATGTGTCTTCCCAATAAATATTTTGAACTCTTTCTATGTTCTAGGTGCTGTTATATACTAGAGATTTATTGTTGAATAAGTCAGCCATACCCCTGCTCTTAAAGGTACTATTTTCTAGAAAGGGAAATAAATAATAATAATAATGATCATTTTCAAAACTATATATGTATATTATTTATGTATTCATTCATATAAATGTATTCATTATACATGTAATGAACTACAAAATTTCAGGCGAGAATGTATTTTATACTGTTTTTCTTTTTTTTAATGTTTTAGTTATATTTGAGAGAGAAAGAGCGTGAGCGGGGAAGGGCCAGAGAAAGAGGGAAATCCCAAGCAGGCTCCAGGTTCTGAGCTGTCAGCACAGAGCCTGATGTAGGGCTCTAACTCAGGAACTGTGAGATTGTGACCAGAGCTGAAGTCTGATGTTTAACCGACTGAGCCACCCAGGCACCCCTGAGAATATAAAAGAAGAGAGTGAGGTAATAAATTGTGGCCAATGGAAGCTCATTTCTACAGGGGGTTGGGGAAGGTCTTGTTGAGAAGATGACATGTGACGGAGTATCAATAAGAAAGTGTTCGCCATGGAAAATCTGAGAGAGCAAGAACAAGAACACACTCCATAAAATTAAAATATGTTTAGTGTTTCTCAAGGAACAGAAAGAAGGTCAGCTTAACTGACCTATAGGGAATAGGAGGGAAAATTGTGGGAGATGATTATTGGCATATAAAATTTGTACTTTTTTTTCCCCTATAATGCTAACCAACTTAACTTTTCTGGAATAGTCAAATTTCAAAAATAGTTGGTGTTCCACTAAGAAAATTGATTTTCACACTGACATGGGAATCATCACATAAGTGTTGACTTGAGGGGATGTTGACTTAAATGACTTCAACTGTTGACTTGAATGAGGGGGAAAAGCACATTGGTAAGTGTTAAAACTGGACCATGATTCCTATGGTTGTCCAATAAACTGTTGGAAACTGCTTTGTATGTGGGACTCACACATCGCAAGGATGATTAGTGTGTGTAAGAATATTTTCTTTCTCCCCCCAGTATACCCCCACAGACTTGGAAGCGTTCAAATACTGTTGCAGATTTATAACTGTCATATTATCCTGTTACTGGACCCCCAAGACCAGGTTCTTGAGTAAGAATGTCATAGAAATTCACACTGAACTTGAGAGAAAGAAAAGAGTTGGGGTTTATTAGAGGTAGCTTGTATACAAGGGATCCAACAAGAAAGAGGAATGCCACTCCCCAAAAGGGTAGTGTGCAAGGCTTATAGAGGTGCTCTTCCAACGGGTGAGGAACTGGGAGTGGGGAAGTCCTATTATCCCTATCATGTGGTCTTTGCTTTTTGGTGGACATGAGAAAATCACAGGATGACTTTCTCCATGGTCGACATTCTTTTAGGGCTCTTGGAAAATAGAAATATTTGTGCAAGTGGGATTTTAAATAGTTATTTCTATTTTTTTCTAACTTATTCTAACAGCTCCCTAACAGCTGTTGTCTCTCATTTTTTTGCTTTCCCAGAAGGAAGTATTTTTCTCTAAGAGTATGGAAACTTTTAACTCTTGGCTTAGACCAGTGGTTTTACAGGAATTACGTTCCTCTTGCTTTTACCTTTACTGTCTCGAACCATACATTCTTCACAATACAGTGTGCATAATCAGTGTAGAGGTGTGGACATTAACCCAGATCTTCCAACTTTAGGAGAATAAATAAAAGACCTAAGTTGCTTTAACCCAAAGAAATTAGTGAAAGCATCAGATGTTTCCCTTAAGTATCCAACTTGACTCCTCCATCACTCATCTGTAACATTCAAGTGTGCCCTTGCTGTCCAGTGGCAGTCTACAATCCCCCCCCCACCTCCCTGAGTCACACTCGAACTTTTACATTTTTTTAAATGTTGATTTTATTTTTGAGAGAAAGAGAGCTCAAGTGAGCCTGTTAGGGGCTTGAGCTCACAAACCGAGAGATCATGACCTGAGCTGGTGTTGGACGCTCAGTTGACCGAGCCACTCAAGCACCCTTGGAACTTTTATGGTTTTTATATATATTCTTTGTTGGTATTTATTTATTCATGCACTCAACAGGTATGTACTATATGTACTAAGTACTTACTAGGTTCCAGTTACTAAGTGAGGTGTTAGAGCCACAGAAGGGATAAGCCAGAAAAAGTTATTGCCTCCAAGCAGCTTAGGCTAGTGAGGAAAGTAGATGATAAACAGCGATATAATGACAGATATCATCAAGTGACAGAAAGAAAGATAAAGATAAACGGTGGCCTAGAGCATGAGGTTTTATTTCACTTATAGAAAATTAGTAAAGACCTTTCTGGGCAGACCACAGTTGAATAATAAATGCAATGAGTTAAAGGAAGAGAGAGGCATGCAAGCAGATGAAAGAATAACCTTTTAGAGAAAATGTAAAGATTCTGTAGCGGGAGTGTTCTTGACATTTTTGTGGTATAACAGAGGTTACAGTTGGAACGGACAGGGACTAATAGGGGAAATGGCAGGAGAGGGAGCCAGGGGCTAGATCATAGATCTTCTCAACTATAAGCAGGTCTTTGGATTTTATGGCAATTTTGATAAGAAGGCTTTGTGGGTAGGAGTGGGGAAGGGATGGACATCTCAACACAGTGATGTAACAATTTTAAAGCAACGTTCCTTGCTGTTATGTGGAAAAATACTAGGAAATTGACTGAGAGTGGAAGCAAAGAGAATACTTAAGACCAACACGTACTTCTTGATGTGTTAGGTTAACAAATGTATAAGATGACCAGACTAAGCTACCATAGATGATAATTCCCAATCCATCTAAGCATAATACTTTGATGAAGCCTTTATTTTGAAACTAGATTGTTTTTAAAGGAGTGATACTAATGACAAAGATTGTAGCAGTGAGATTGGTAACAAGAGTGATATTTTGATTGCTCCTTAACTCACCACACACAGTCATTCTGTTTTCATTTTGTGTTGATCTTAACAGCCTAGGTGGTATGAGATACCATGCAATATATTTTTTATAATAATCATTTTACAATAATCATAATCAAGGAACCTGGGTGTCTCAGTCGGTTTAAGCCTCTCACTCTTGATTTCAGCTCAGGTCATGATCTCATGGTCCATGGGGTCGAGTCCCGTGTTGGGCTCCATGCTGACAGCACAGAGCCTGCTTGAGATTCTCTCTCTTTCCCTCTCTCTCTGCTCCTCCCTCACTCCTGCTTTCTTTCTCCTTCTCAAAAATAAAATACATAAAATTTATGATAATCATACTCCAGATGTCTGACACCTCAGAAATGCATGAAAATAATAATGTAAAAGAGGGGAAAGTTAGAGGAGAAGATATTAGGGGAAAGAAGGGCAATCTAAATGATAGTAAAATATGGCAAAAAATTAACGGGAGATACATGAAACAGATAATTTAAGATAAACAATTTTAGAACATAGGAAGTTTCAGACCACAAGGTTTCTATTTCTTGAATTAAAGCAACTGTGTAGTAAGTGATAACACAAAAGAACTAGTCCCCAGGGAAGAAGTGAATGATACCCTTCTTACAGACAATTTATAGCTTCCTAAGTAAAATTCTTCCAGAGTGGAGAGAGATCCATGAAGACAGAGATCTTAAAATTCTTTCTTAACAATGAATCCTCTAGCCCCAGACAGTGCCAAGGTCAGAGTGCATGCTCAATAAATTTTAGTTGTTCATTAAATAAATGAATGAGATTCCAAGGGAAATATTACTCTCCAAATCATGTCCACCTCAAAGATAAGAATCTTTAACTGTTCATTCTTTACTTAAATACCTCATCTCTTAAACTATTTGTGCTTTTTTCAATTTAAAGAAGGACATCTCAGATTCTGGAACAATCCCGCTTGTCTCTTCATGCTACGCCTACAGTTGTGAGAAAGCACATTTCAGACAGCAGGGAAAACCCGCAGCTCACCACCACAACAGTGTAAATTGTCTGGGCCACTGGAGCACAAATTAAAGAGAACTGATGTAGTTGAGCGGTTAGGAGGCAAGAGGAAGGGGGCGGAGCCAATGTAACAATATAAATGAGACATATCTCACAGACTCAGGGACAGAACAAGAGCTCCAGCAGGGACTTTTGCTGTTGATTGACTTGACCTGGGATTACCCAGGGAGTCTTGACTAGAACGAAGATGAATCCTGAAGATTGCTCTGTAACAGGGAACAGCCCCTTGCATCTGGAAAGAGGACAACAAAGTAAGTCAGACCTTATTTCTTATATACTAGTGACAAAACTCCCTTTCTGTCTCTCACACACACATCTACCTACCTACCTATCTATCTATCATCTATCTATCTATCTATCTATCTATCTATCTACCTACCTTCCTACCTATCTATGTATCTACATCTATCATCTATCTATCTTATATATTACAATACTTTAAAAAATGAGCCTTTGTCTTCAGAAAAACTTGGTTACATTTTGCTTCAGTCCAGGTAAAGCAGAATATGGGAACAAGTCATTATTTCTCCATCTTTCTCTATCTACCTGAAACATGAGCGGAAACCACAAAGGTGGATTTCAGAAGACCTTTGAAGATCTATTTCTTTGTTTCAATTCATGTCACATCAATTCTTCACATTTAACTGGAAAATTCCCAGCACTGGCCCAGTGCATTTCCCATCCTTTTTCCATATCCATCTCTACACACTTCAGGAAGCACTGACTCTCTATAAAACTTTTGTCTTCCATATAAACAATTACATTTTTTATTGTCTTCACCTGTGTCCGTGTAGGCTTTCTGTTCTCATGACAGCATCCTCTAGTTGCTGAGAAGGAAAGTTTCCAACCTTTGAAGGAATAGCCTTATGCATATCTGAACATTTATCAGGTCCAGTGGTAGTTTCTTAGGAGAACGTCATGCAAAATTCATAAAAAGGCAATCTTCTGCTTCTGCACCCTTCATTGAGCTCTTCCTCCATTTCATCATTCTGTTTCACCCTTCCAACCACTGGCTTCAGATTCGACATGAATCACACACAGTTCTTCCTTTCTTTGTTTTTCATCTAAATACATCAAAATATGATTATCTTAGCTGTTTACTTTTCCCCTCTTCTGTTTGCCTGTTCTGTCCACAGATTTATACTATTTCCTGTTACCAGAATGCACCCATGTTTTTTTTTCCTATAATGTGTTTCTATGAGGCTTTTTTGCTTGTTTAAAAGTTATCCTTCTTCCTCTCCAATTAACGAGGTGCCCCAAAACTTACTTTTAAGCAAGGTTATCTGATAGTAAAGGGGAATGTTCTAAACAGCAGAGTTGAACAGTCTGGAGAAAGGGATTGTTTTCTGAGCCTGTTTCTACTAGACTGGTTTATGTTAGGAATAGACCAATCACTTCTGATAAACCCATATTTCACCAAGAACACAAAATCCAGCAGGCACAACAAGTGCAAGCCACAAAGATTCCTGGTAGCTAGGTAACCATAATTTTATGGCCCAGATGAGCTGTTGTAAAGAAATAATGTATATAATAATAAAGTTACTCAATCAGTAGAGAGCATAGTTGAACAAGGAAAGACCTAATTCAGGAATCCTCAGGTGTTTCTAAGTTCTCCAATTTTCTGTTGAATGTTAGTTTATGCTGCCCTTGCAGTTGCTTTATTACTATGAGCAAGCATTGGGCATCACCTTTGGGTGAGTCGGTTTGTTATTATGGATTTATTTCAATTTCTTCATTAGTGAGCAAGGCCCCTATTCAGAGAGAAAGTATTCTGTAGGGAGAGTGTTTTGTCACCTAGGTGATAAATCAAACTGTGAGTAACAATAGCCCTCACAAATGGAGAAACGTACAGTCTGAGAATCATCGCCATAGTTTGCTCATTGGATAAGCCAATAGACCGAGCCAGGCTCTGAGTCTGGGTGCTAGATGGATGAGTTAGTGTTTGCCGAGGAACCAGAACTCTTGCTGCATTGAGTCTAAACAGCATGATTGGCTCTTACACGGGGAGAAGTGAAACTAGACAGACAGTTCTGAACTTGCTACCCTACCTACCAAGGGCTGCTTCCGGTGATAGCTGTATGCTGGTGAAAAAAAAAAAGGGAAGATTTGCTTTGAAAAGCTGAGAGAAATAGAGCTAGACAGGAGTGAAGTAAAGTCTCCTCTTGCAAAACTCCAATGCAGACCTATGCTGGGAAAGAACAATCCCCAGAAGCAAAAGCTGATGTTGATAACCAGTAAACAATGAAAGAAAGCACATCTCTTTGCTCAGTTTCACTTCAGAGACATGTTTTTAGGAAAAGAAATACAAGAATTTCAAGATATGCTCTTTTAGTATCCTTTTAATTATACACATTGAAAAACAAGGTATGTTTGCATTGACGCTATTTTGCATGGTAAGTTCTAGTATCATTCAAGTGGCCATTTTACATTTCAGTTTTTGAGAATGCAATAGGGAACTATATATTTCTTGGGAGGCTAAATTTTAAAAATCCTGAGAGGTCATCCTAGCAAAAATCAAATTCAATCTCTGGTCACAACATCTTCTCTCCTTCTCAATAACATATTTATAATCTAAGACAGATAATCTTCTAAATTTTTTAACTAAAAATCATCATTCACATCATACTCAGATTCCAAAAAAACATTTCTTACTGGTGAAATCAAATCAAATTTTTACTTTGTTTCAGCATTATACAGAAGGTACATGAAAAAAATAAACTTCCACCTAATATTTGCTGTATAATATTGTTATGTTTCCTTTACTAACTTCTCTTGAAAAATTCAAGTATCTTGTTCTTCACCTAAATATCATTTTTAATTGAGGTGTAATTTACATACAGTGGGTACACAAGTCATATGTATGCAATTTAATGGGTTATGTAACAACTCCACTCAACATTTGAAATTTTCTATCACCCTAGAATGTTCCTCTGTGTTTATTTCCAATAAAATTACTTTTCCTGCACACATAAAAGCAATTACTTTCCTGATTTCTGTTACCAGAGTTTAATTTGACTGTTCTTTTTAGTATAGGTAACACATAATAGGACATTATTTTCAGGTGTGTAACGTAATAATTCATAAACATCCCTCTATGTTATTCTATGCTCACGGTAGTGTAGGACTCTCTGTCAGCACACCATGCTGTTACTGTACCACTGATATATTTTTTATGCTGTGCCTTTCATTCTTGTGACTTATCCATTCCTTTACTGGAAGCCTGTATCTCCCTCTCCTTCACTCATTTTGCCCAGACCCCCATTCTCCTCCTCTCTGGCAGTCTTCATTTTGTTCTCTGTATTTATACACATTCTACTTTCTGTTGGTTACTTCATTTGTTTTGTTTTTTAGATTCCACATATAAGTGAAATCATATGGTATTTGTCTTTCTCAGTCTGACTTATTTCACCTATAGTTCAGCTATCGTTGAATGTCATCTAGAGTATATAGCCTTGAATGTCATATAAATGGAAATCTATAGTATATAGTTGTAGCTGCATTTTTTCACTCAACATTTTTTGAGATTCATGCATTTTGTTGCATTGATCAGGTTTTTTTAAATTGCTGAGTAGAATTCATATATATCATAGCTTGTTTATCCATATTCCTATGGTGAATATGTGGATTCTTTCTAAGCTCTGGCTCTTAAGAATAAAGCTACTGTGAGCATTCTTGTTCTGTACAAGTCAAGTTCTAATCAGAGGGTAGGGATGTATTTCATTGTGTGAAAAACAGTTTTCCAAATTATTTTTTCATTTTACTCCCCAATCACTAATATATGAAAATTTCCGTTGCCTCACATCTGTACAGACTTCACCAAAAAGTACCATCAGGGGCACCTGGGAGGCTCAGCCAGTTAAGCATCCAACTTCGGCTTAGGTCATGATCTCATGGTTTGTGAGTTCGAGTCCCATGTCGGGCTCTGTGCTGACAGCTCGGAGCCTGAAGCCTGCTTCGGATTCTATGTCTCTCTCTCTCTCTGCCCTTCCCCCACTCATGCTGTCTCTCTCTATCTCATAAATAAATAAACTTGAGTTTTTTTTAAAAAAAGTACCATCAGTCTTTTAAAAAAATTTTCAGTCATGCTAATTGTAGATATTTGTATATCAATCCAATATTTTTTATTCATTATCCACCTTTATTGCATTTATGCCATCTTTCTTAAACAGTAATTACAGAAAGCTTAAGGGATAGTGCTCAGGATGTCCTTTTTATATGTCTCCAGAGTAATCAGATATTTAATAAATGTTCTTGTGATTCAAACAATAAAATTATCATATACTTGGAATTTTTGTAGCTACTAAGGGCACATATTAGGCAGATATTTTATTATCTCATTATTATTTCCAGATTGTTTCATTTCTAGCCAAAAAGAAACTGTCCAAAGTTGCTCAAAATTGAGGGGGAAATTAACTTACAAATTTCATGTAAGAAGTTAAGAAGGCATTAAAATGTAAATGCTTCAGGAGAATATCAAATGTCCCTCTCTTACTGCGACAGTTGACCTGAATTGATCATGAACTTTCTCTCTGCAGATACTACCGCCAGCCCTCAGTTTGTAACACAGCACGAAGGATCCCTTCAAGTTCCTATCCCATGTGCTGTAGTGAATGTGGTCCTCATCACCTTTTTAATCATTACTCTCATCGCCTTATCAGGTGGGTCTGAACTTCATGAATTCATTCTGCTGTCGCCATTCTCGTCTAGCTGAAATCAACAGGGATTTACTTGGGCTAATTAATCTGAAATTCTGATTAATTTAGAATCATCCCATTTCTTATACATGGCTGATTTCTTTGAAAGTACCAAATATAATCCTATATTCCTTAGATAATCAATGCAACACTTCCTAAGTTGCCTAGAACTTCTTTTGAAGTACTAAAGGTGTCTATGATTTAAAAATTATTGTGGGAGAAAATTACACTTGAGTAGATTTTTAAATCTGAAATGAAAGGGACTGATTTAGATTCTAACTAAACAAAGATTTAGCTAGGGAAAAATGTGAGCTTAGCATTCATTGTTGATAGAAAAAATAATATGTAAGTCATAGAAGGGACCAGTCTTTTATTTCAAAGTCCACAGAATGGTGGTTGTGCATAATTTAAAAAATATATCTAGAATCTCCCAAAGAATCCATTGTGATATGGTATTCAAAACATAGCAATACCAAGATATGCTTTTGTCTTTTACAAACACGAAATTTTATAATTTTATGAAATATCCCAGCCATTATCCCAGCCATAGTTCTTTCTGTATTCTGAATTATTTCTCTGAAAACTATTCTCCCCTTCATCTCCCAATATAGTGTTCCATCGATTTATAATCCCTTTACCCTTTCCAGTCCAAAGACTACTTGCAAGAATTTTCTATTTTCCTACTGCCTTTTGAGATTATGGCCCAAGGGACACCCTCTTATTTCTTATACTCTGACGATGATGATTAGGCACAACAGGAAGTTAGGTCAGGTGAGAACCTGCCTTCTTGCTCTTATCAGAGTTCACTTCTTGCCTCTCATCCTTGACATTGTCACCTAGCACAGCACAGCATCTCCTGAACTAGTTTTGCGTATTGTGGGCACTTAGTTTCTTTTATTACTAAAGCAAACCATTTTCTTGTTCACAGTTGGCCAATACAATTGTCCAGGACAATATGTGTCCCTAGAACTGTCAAATAAACACGATTCTTCATGCTCAGATGATTGGATTGTATACCAGAGGAAATGCTACTTTATTTCCACTGTAACAAGCAACTGGAAGTCCGCGCAAAACTTTTGCTCTGATTACAGTGCTACTCTTGCTTTCATTGATTCTGAAAGGGACATGGTAAGATCCAAAAACAATTTCATAAGTATTTGCTATTTTTAATAGAGATAATCTGTGATTTCTCTGCTTCCATGTAAGTGAAGACATTGTACCTATCTCCGTTGTAGGGAAATTTTGTTACAGAAAGCCATGTGATCAGTCTGAGGTCATATTCAGGGTTCAATTTAATTTTGTAAATTTGATCTGATTACTTAGCTTCAAAGGCCTGAAAGTCCAAATGAGCTGGTCCTAAATAGAGCTAATAAGTGGGCGGCTTAGCCACCATGCCTTGAACTGCAGCTTTTGAGAAATGGAATTTATTATCTACTTACCAGAGGGGTTGTTTATCATATGCCTTCTTTGTGCTTTCTTCAAGATCTTTTTAAAATGGTATGTGGGTAGAGCCAAACATTGGATTGGGCTGAAAAATGAAGATGGTCGGACATGGAAATGGTCAGATGGCAAAGTATTTAATAACTGGTAAGTTTTAAGATGTCTCTTTATCCTCCCCAGAATGATAACTCAGGGAAGCTATTTTCCTTTCAAATCACTGTTGTATATGAAGTTCATACCCTTGATGAGCAGACCTTTATCAATCTGTTTTGTATGTTTCGAATTCTTTAAAGAATGGTTTTAATATTGCCATTTTTCTCTTTTTATCTACTTGGAAATCATACAATAAATGTTTCTAGTAATTTTACCTCAGCACATTTCAGTGTGTGTAATAGATCCAGAAATTTTCCAAGACTAGTTACAATGATGTAAAATGAAAACCCCCCAACATTTCCAATCTTGTGTGTATATTTTCCTGATAAGCTGGGGTTTTTTATTTTGGAAAAGGATTCCCTCTCCCACTTCTCATCCTCACAGAGATAAAGAACAATATTTCTAATCGCTAATTAGAAGCCTCTGTGAACCTGAGAGAAAACTTGCCCCAGGATGAAAGACGCTTGACTAATTTTATGACATGTAATTCATGTACATTTTAAAGTTTGAAGGACATCTTTTCATATGAAAACTCAGAATTGAATAAATTGCTAGATATCTAAGTAGTTTTATGATAATTACTGATATAGAGAATAAATTTAAACCTCTAGAAAAGGAATTCTTAAGATGTGTCCTCTGAGACTATACATGCAGATGGGTTTCAGGGGCCATAGCCCCCCTAAAATTGTATGCACGATTAGTGAATGTATACACATCTGGGCATCGTGTCTCCAGGGCAATGTTAATTGAGAAACAGCCAAGAATCACCCCTCTGGTGGTATGCCATCCGAATACGTGGAGCTCTTTACTCTTTGCTCTGTACCTTCCCTCCACATGCTCTTTCTTCCAATTCCGGTCTACTGTCTCTATAAATTAGTTCATGGTCAACTTGACCAGCTGACTTGCTTCATGAGCTCCGACCAATCACACACACACAAAAATTATAGACGACCATCACAAAGTTCATTCTCCTGTAATTGAATGGAATAATGAACCGAAAATAATTCTTTCTTTATTGTTGGACAGGTTCAACCTTACAGGATCTGAGAACTGTGCCTTTCTGAATAGCACACAGGTCAGCAGCACAAAATGTGAAAAGAATTTATACTGGATATGCAGCAAACCCTTCAAATAATGAGGAAACATATCTGCTTATAGACTACTATTGACATGGAACTCAAGGAAATTTGTGGTAATGGATGCTGCTTTATGGTCAGAAATTTTCCATAAAGACTTTGGGGGAAAAACCCAACTGCATATTATTTTGGAAACCTTCTTCCAAAGGAGACTATGGACATAAGGAAGAGAAATTACAGAAATATCTGTATCACATCGTGGAATACTCCTGCCATGAGCTGAGAAAGACACAGTTTGACTGATCATTACATCCAAAAAGGAGAATGACTTTTAAACTTTATGGATGCACTTTATATTTTAAAATTCAGAAATAGTAAAATAACTAGGCTTAGAATTCTTATTTATTGTTGAATGACTACCCAAACTGAGTGTGCTTCTTGTATTTGCACTATTTGAACAGGTTAGATGGTGGTATTAAAACCGAATGTCAACATAAGAAATTTTAACTTGTAGCGCAGACATTTAGTCTAAATGCATTTAAAAAAAATCAGAGAACATTTTTAAGTGGACAAATGCTTATGAAACTAAGCTTTGTAATATTTTTCTCTTGTTAGAGAAGTTTGCCAAGTTACTTTGTCATTTTCCTGCCCGAAGAGTGGGATGATCATGTATTTATACTGTTTTTTTTTTTTTTGCTTCTTTTATGTAACTCATCCTTTCCAATGGTACATAAATTGTTGTCTTAAAAATCTTATATGTAGCATTTTACAGAGACACAGACAAAAGCAAAGAATATGATGAATATTTATGAAACTGATAAAAGTATTGGAAAATGTGTAGTATGTGATGTGGTAAATTTCTATCAGGAAAAATTCTGCATTCTTCAAACCTGAAGTAGTAATAGTCTTATCTGACTATAAGTTTGTACCTTTCCTAATCAACTCTATCATGTGCAATGCTTCATATGAGGTATTTTCTTTTTTTAAATATAATTTATTGTCAAATTGGTTTCCATACAACACCCAGTGCTCATCCCAACAAGTGCCCTCCTCAATGCCCATCATCTGCTTTCACCTCACCCCCATCTTCCCACCCCCATCAGCCCTCAGTTTGTTCTCAGTATTTAAGAGTCTCTTATGGTTTGCCTCCCTCCTTATCTGTGACTTTTTTCATATGAACTATTTTCTGAGTGCAATAGTGTTTCTTTGTTTGTATTTTGTATTCACTGCCATTATAAGCTGACTTTATGTATGTTAAAAAATAAAAGTAGAATTATCAAAATGGCTTCTAAGAAGTGTTCATTTCCTTCAAAATACACTAATATATGTCATACTGGCAGATAACAGAATACTGCAACATTTTTTAAACTTATCTATAGTAAAACTTAGCTTTATAACGCAGTTTGTACTTTTGATTTTTTAAAATTTTTTAATGTTCATCTTTAAGACAAAGAGAGAGACAGAGCACAAGTGGGGGAGAGGTAGAGACAGAGGCGTACACAGAATCTGAAGCAGGCTCCAGGCTCTGGGTTGTCAGCACAAAGCCTAATGTGGGGCTCGAACTCACCCGCCACGACACCATGACCTGAGCTGAAGTCAGAAGCTCAACGGACTAAACCACCCAGGAGCTGCCAGTTTGTGCTTTTTGAATTGTTTTCACAGGTTTCTGTATAGCAGATGCTCAAGTGAATAATTCAAATTGACTTGAGAGGAATGTAGCTCATTTAAAATTTTGACTCTATTATTTTCTTCCTTTCTGTTATTATTCATCTCCCTCATACTACTAAAGAGACATAGAGAAATTAGGAGGCATCTAGAAGTCATTTTGCAAGGGCCTAGTTATAAAGCTCATCTTCTCTCCAATAAAAGGATAGTTGGCCCTCATAACTGATCCTCTGAAAACATCCTGTTCAACCCCAGAGTGCAGGACAGATTTTAGTTATTTACACAAAATAATCCACGAAATAGAAACAAGGCGTGTGTTAATCTTTATGAGATACTTGAGTCAGGAAAAATTCTGTTATCTTCAAAATTGTTTTAGGAATGTGTTTTGCAATATTCTTTTCTAAAAGCTGAAATGTATTTCACAATATTCTTCTCTGAAGTCTTCTCTGAATACTGATTTGATATCTCTAAACTGTTATCATCAGTATGGCATATTGAAAAGAAATGTGGGTTCCAGACAATGTTTAGTGATTTAAAAAAAGAAGAAGAAGTCTCTTAATTTCAGGGTCCTTCAGTTCCCACAGCTGTAAAATAAAACAAATGGCTTTCAAACTCTAATCCTCTCATTATAACAACAAAATGCTCTTGAGTCATGTTAGAAAACAAACGTCTTGTGATTCGTGGGTTAGGAGATGTGTAAGAAAAAAGTGTAGCTAAAAGCCAAAGCACAGAAGTTGTGCCTGTTTCCTCTCCACCACACACTAGTTGTCCAGCTGCTTTAGTTAGCATTAGCCAGAAATGTACTTAAAATTGGGTAGAAATTAAATTAGTTAATACATGAAAATGAACTTGGAATAGTACCTGGCTCCAAGTGAATCCCCAGGACCTATTAACTTTGAATGATGATTGTTATAAATGGGAACACTACGTCATTAAATGTGCAATATGGACAGAGAATATCATTTCTACATAATATGCTTATTTCTACATAGCATGTTTTTCTTTTTAAAAAATTTTTAATGTTTATTTTTCTTTTTGAGATGGAGAGAGACAGAGCACGAGAAGGGGAGGGGCAGATAGAGAGGGAGACAGAATCTGAAGCAGGCTCCAGGCTCTGAGCCGTCAGCACAGAGTGCAATGCGGGGCTTCAAGTCAAGGACCGTGACATCATGACCTGAGTCGAAGTCAGCCACTCAACTTATTGAGCCACCCAAGTGCCCCTACATAGTATGTGTTGGTTTTTGAAGGGGCTATTTGTAAAGCAAAAAGTAAAGGAAGCAATTGTATTGTGGTAGTGATGAAGCCTATAGTAGGGGAAACGTAGGGTTCTGTGGAAGTGTATTACCAATACACTACTTGATTTGCTCCCACATTCAAGCTTTTAAATAATTTTTTTTAATTTTTTTTTATGTTTTATTTATTTCTAGGAGAGAGAGAGAGAGACAGCATGAGCAGGGGAGGGTCAGAGAGAGAGGGAGCCACAGACTGAAACAGGCTCCAGGCTCTGAGCTGGCAGTCAGCACAGAGCCCGACGCGGGGCTCAAACCCATGAACCGCGAGATCATGACCTAAGCGAAAGTCGGACGCTTAACCGACTAAGCCACCCAGGCGCCCCCAAGCTTTTAAATAATTTTTAAAATGTTGAATTTGTAGGCTATGTTCACCTTGGATAATTATGTTAATATGTGCTGTAGACACCTACCAGTGATCTGTGTTTTATTTAGCTTTTGCAACACAATTTCCATTTCCTCTTCTGGAAAGAGGAATAATAGTTCACCTGCTTATTTCAGATAAAAATAGGGACTCAATAAAATTAAAAGTACTTTTAAAATGATAGAATACCGTTGAAATGTTGGATCCTATAGTCAGTATTGAGCTGATTCAAAATTTTTCTAATTCTAATATAGAAATGATCTTTCTAAGCTTGCTCTCAATTTTCATAAATTTGACTAAATTTTAACACATGAAAATCTACACTAATAAAATTCTAGAGAAAATGTTGAAATCTATGTATGATTGGAAAGATTGCTAATGATCATATACATTGGTATATTTTAACCTTTGGAATGCAGTTTTAAAATACTTATCAAGGGGCGCCTGGGTGGCTCATCTTCAGCTCAGTTCATGATCTCACGGTTCATGGGTTCAAGCCCCGCATCGGGCTCTGTGCTGAACACTTGCTCAGAGCCTGGAGCCTACTTCAGATTCTGTGTCTCCTTCTCTCTCTATCCCTACCCCACTCACATTCTGTCTCATTCTGTTTCTCAAAAATAAATAAATGGAAAAAATTTTTTAAATAAATTAAATACTTATCAAAAACCCTACAAAATTCCCTGTTTCTTTCGATGTGACCATTTTGGGGGGAAGGAGAGCAGACTTTAAAGAAATAATCTCTGATGTTCAAGATATAACCACAAAAATGTTTATCAAAGCTATTTTTAATAACGATATTATGGAAAACACTTAATGTTCCAAAATTAAAGATTTGGTTAAATACATATGATTCTACTACATGATGAAATAATATGACAACAAAGAAAAACAGTAACAAAAAAAATGTTTAGGTATATGAGGGAAGGTGCAAAGTATCATTGTTAAGCCAGGTAAAATAATATATCCTGTAAGATTTTTATCCTGTTACATATATTTTTTAAAATTTTTATTTATTTCTAGGAGAGAGAGAGAGACAGCGTGAGCAGGGGAGGGTCAGAGAGAGAGGGAGACACAGACTCTGAAATAGGCTCCAGGCTCTGAGCTGGCAGTCAGCACAGAGCCCAACGCGGGGCTCGAACCCACGAACCGCGAGATCATGACCTAAGCGAAAGTCGGACGCTTAACAGACTAAGCCACCCAGGCGCCCCTATCCTGTTACATATTAAATAGCAATACACGTTTTGTGTTTCTATATGCTTAAAGTGAGAAAACTATAAAGGTAAGCACAATGGTTTTCCCTGAGGAATCAGAGTATAGACAACGTTTGTTTTCTTCTTTATGTTTCTTCATAGTTTCAAGATATATAGAAAAATTTGTGTTAATAAGCCCAAATATAGTATCATTAAAGTGGCAATTTTATTATTTAAAGTATGACTCTATTTCCTAGTGACCAAGTACAAATATTAAAAAATGAGTTTGGGGGCATCTGGGTGGCTCAGTCGGTTAAGCGACTGACTTTGGCTCAGGTCAGGATCTTGCAGTTCACGAGTTCTGGACCCGCATCAGATTCTGTGCTGACAGCTTGGAACCTGGAGCCTGCTTCAGATTCTGTGCCTCCCTCTCTGTCTCTGCCCCTCCCCACTTGAACTCTGCCTCTCACTCTCTCTGTCTCTCAAAATTAAATAAACTTAAAAAAAATGAGTTTTCTTGGGCTGCCTGGATGGCTCAGTTGGTTGCACATCTGGCTCAGGTCATAACCTCGTAGTTCCTGAGTTTGAGCCCCGCATCAGGCTCACTGTTGTCAGCTCAGAGCCCGGTTTGGGTCCTCTGCCCCCACCCCATCTCTGTCCCTCTTCCTCTCTCTCTCTCTCTCAAAAATAAGTAAACTTTTTTTTTAAACGAGTTTGCTTTGAAACAGTCCCATAAATACAGAGAACAAACGAATGGTTGCCAGAAGGGACAGGGAAGAGGGGATGAGAAAAATGGGTGAAGAAGAATGGGAGATACAGGCGTCCAGTTGTGGAATGGAGAAGTCTGGGAATGAAAGGCAAAGCAAACATGGGGAGTATAATCAATGATACTGTAATAGTGCTGAATGGTGACAGATGGTAGCTACACTCCTGACGACCCTAGCATAACGGGGAGAAAGAGAGAGAGAGAGAACAGTGGGGGAGGGGCAGAGAGAGAGGGAGACAGAGACTCCCATCCAGGCTCTATGCTGTCATTGCAGAGTCCAACTTGGGGCTCAAACTCACGAATCGTGAGCTCATGAGCTTAAGTTGTATGCTCAACTGCCTGGGCCACCCAGGAGCCCCTCAAATACACTTTAATAAAGAAAAAATAAAATAACGTTGCTTGAAGAATGTTCTCAACCTTAAATTAACTCAAGTTCCCCCACTGTTAGCGGCACTGCAAGCTGCAGTGCCACCTAGTGGCTGGACAAAATCACTGCTCTTTTGTTTTGTTTTGTTTCTTGGCTCAGAAAATCTATTTAACTGAGAGAAACTGCAGTGTTGTTTTTCTTTTTAAACGCGGTTCAAACATAGTTTATTTTTTTTTAATTTTTAATGTTTTTTTTTTATTTATTTCTAGGAGAGAGAGAGAGAGAGACAACGTGAGCAGGGGAGGGCCAGAGAGAGAGGGAGACACAGACTCTGAAACAGGCTCCAGGCTCCGAGCTGGCAGTCAGCACAGAGCCCGACGCGGGGCTCGAACCCACGAACCGCGAGATCATGACCTAAGCGAAAGTCGGACGCTTAACCGACTAAGCCACCCAGGCGCCCCTCAAACATAGTTTAAAGGTCGTGGGTAGTATAACCAGGTTTCTGTATTTCATTCTAAAGACATTGCATCTAGTTTCTGACCCACAGTACAGTCCAAGGAGATGATCTACCCCACAAATAATACTACCTTACATGCA